GGTCGGGCTCTGCTGCCAGGGAACAGGGACAGGAGGAGAGGGAACGGCCTCAGGCTGGGCCAGGGGAGGCTCAGGGGGGACAGCAGCAGGAATTTGCCCATGGAAAGGGCGCTCAGGCCTTGGAAGTGCCCAGGGAGGTTTGCAGTGCCCATCCCTGGAGGTGTCCCAGGAATTGCTGGAGGTGGCACTCGGAGCTCTGGGCTGGGGACAGGGTGGACATTGGGCACATTCAGCTCAATGATCCTGGAGAGATTTTCCAATCTCAGTGATTCTGTGAGGTTTAAATTGAATGTTTGGGAAAATTTCCTTCCCTAAAAGGGGTGTCCAGCCCTGGCACAGGTACAGGGTGGGGTCCCCATCCCTGGAGGGATTCCAAATCCATGTCGATGTGGCACCTGGGGGCACAAGACAGTGGTGGCCTTGGCAGTGCCATGTTGGACCTCATGATCTTGGAGGATTTTTCCAACCTTCATGATTCCATGAAATTGCGAGGGGCAGGAATTTCCTGCAAACCAAACTGGGGTTTTTGAAGCAGGGATTGGCTGGTTTATTTTCATTTTTTTGGTTGGTTTGGGGTTTAGAAAATAAATTTCCTTTATTTATGACACTTCCCAGCCCCAGATCTTCGTGTCAGCCCCAAAATCACTCCCCTAACGACAGTGACAGGTAATGGAGTCAAGACTTTTTTATTGCTGAAAGATTAGAGAAGAAACATTTCCTCAGCTGAGCTGTTGTCATCTCTGACAGCGTTTTGGGAACGCTCTGTGAAGCTGCTTCCCCATTTTTTCCAAGGTTTTTCCAGGGGAGTAAAATGAGTGGAGATGGGGAGAAGGAAAAGCAGAAACAACACCTGAAATTGTTGTTTTAAGAGAGGAAAAAAAGCCTCAATTTGAGCTGCCTGGGTTTCACCACAGCTTTGTCACTTTGAACCACGATTCTGCTCCAAGGAGTGTATTTCAGGTGGGAAAAAATTCCTGTTTAAGGCATTTTCCCCTCTCTGTTTAGACTCCAGTGTTTGAATTTAATGACACAAACACATTTTGATGCCTTTTTGCTCTTCAGGGAAAAAAAAATATTTCTGTGGGAGCAGGGAGCTGCTGGCTCCTGATTTCCCAGTCCCGTTTGGGATAGCAGGGAGCAGCTCCGAAGATCTCCATCCTCCAAACATCCCATTCCCAAAGAGGGTGAAGGCATCGCCTCTGGGCTGGGGTAACAGCTTGGGGTAAACTGGGATCTCAGAGGTTGTCCAGGGAGGCAAATTCCTGGGAAAACTTGGAATAAGAAATGAGTTTTAGGGAAAACTTGGGATTTGCACCTTTGGACACTGAGGGTGGTGCATTGGTGGCAGTTGGGTGGTGGAAATCCCAAACCTGGGGATGGTTTTCATGGAGCTGATCCTTGTGGTGAGGAGGAGATTTCCCATCCCTGGGTCTGTCCTGAAACTTCCAGCATTTCCCAAAAAGTCCTTTGGAAGTGCTGACTCTGATTTAATGGAGCCTCATGGGTGGAAGATGTTTCACATAAACATTTGGGGCTGAGCAAACGGGAAGTGATTCCTGATCCATTTTGTCACTTCCTTAACTTTGCCTTTTATGTTGGGAGTTGATCCACGATCGATTTCCGCTCCCTCCCAGGTGTTTCAAAGCTGTTGATGGTTATTCCCTGTTTTTTCCTTGGATATTCTGCCGTTGCTGAGCTTATCCCTTGCTTTCCTGAGGAAATTTTTCGTTATTTTAATGAGCTCTTCGGTTTTTCTCCAGAACATTCCAAATCTTCCTGAGGTTACACCCCTCAGAGAGGGGCCCTTTCCTTGGAATTTAATCCAAGGGAATTATAGAAGATATCCATGAAGGGAATGGGAATTTCCTGCCTGGATTATTTTCTGGTTTATGGAACAAAAACGAATTTTTTCGTTCACTGGGAACTCAGAGCAGTGGTGGGACTGGCACGGAGCACTGGGATCACCTCCCCGTTCCCAGTGCTTTCCATGGAATCCTGGAATGGCTTGGAAGGGATGTTAAAAACCATCCCAATCCCACCCTGCCATGGCAGGGACACCTCCCACTGTCCCAGGCTGCTCCAGCCCCGATGTCCAGCCTGGCCTTGGGCACTGCCAGGGATCCAGGGGCAGCCACAGCAAATCTGGGAATTCCAGCCCAGCCTCTCCCCACCCTCCCAGCCAGGAATTCCTTCCCAATATCCCATCCAAATCTCCCCTTTTCCAACTAAAGCCATTCCCTGTGTCCTGTCCCTCCATCCCTTGTCCCCAGTCCCTCTCCAGCTCTCCTGGAGACTCTTCAGGCCCTAGAGCCCTCCCTTCTCCAGCTGAACATTCCCAATTATCTTGTTTCCATAGGAGAGGTGGAATTTTGAGCAATTTTGGCTCCTAGAAGGTAACTCCTGCACAGAATTCCTGGAATTACCTCATCCTTGGATCCAATTCCCTTCTTTCCAGCTCTCCTAGTGCCCATCCTTCCTGGTTTTCAGCTCTTCCATGTGGAACAGCTCCTAAATCTTGTGGTTTTAATTAAACCCAAGACGGTTTTTCCCCCGAAAATGTGAGGATTTGCTCAATTCCTGAACCTGGATGGCAACAGCAGCGACTTCTTCTGTGTCTGGGAAAAAAATAAAAATAAAAAAAATAGGATTTAGACGGGTCCACAAGGGAAATAAGAGTCTGGATTACGATTTTATGGAGTTCTCATCCCCAGGCTTGATTTTTGCCGGTTTAGAACTTCAAAATGACAAATTTTGCTGTATTTATTTGCCTTTAAAGAATTCCAGGGAATGAATTCCTAGGCATTGAAGTTATGAGGATGTGTTTGTGATTCCAGGGGTTTGATGTGGAATTCCAGCATCGGAAAGCCTCCATAAAAAGGAATAATTAAGAATTCCAATTTTTCTGCTTCTTTCTGCCCTTAAATTAGGGCTTTATTATGAAGGTGAATTTTAAAAATTAATTAAGGTTGCTGAATAAAAAAAATGCAGGGAGAATGAAAAAAAAAATCCCAAATTTGGAGCTGTTTGGATAATTTCCTCAAATTCCCTGGATAATTTAGCTGGGGGTCAGTCCAGAACTTCCCACCAGGAATGTTCAAATAATCCTGGAAAAAACTCAGTGAAGTTCCTGACCTCAGCTCTCGGTTAATGCTGAAAAAGGCATTTTCCAGCCGTGCAGGATGGAAAATCCATCGTTCTTCAGTGGGATATTGATTGGAAAAATGTTTATGGATTATTCAGGATTAAAGTGTTAAGTTTTTGGGAGGAGGGAAACATCTGAACGTCCTAAGGAACAACATTGGGATCAAAGTAATCCAAATTAATCGAAGATTGATTGTTGCAATCAATCATTGGCCAGGTTATTCTGAGGTTTTTTGGGAAAGAATTTGTGGGTGTTTCCCTAAATCCTGCTTTTCCATAAAAAAACCCCAAAAAACCAAAAACAACAACAACAACAAAAACCAAAAAGACTGATCCAGCTGAATGGAATAAAGGAATCTTATCAATTTTTTATTTTTAACCAAAGTTTTACCTATTTACCTAAGATTGAAATATTTTTTTCCCCAGCATCCACTCATTAAAACCCTTTTAAATTATTCAACATTTCCTTAAAATCTCTTTATCTTTTCCAGTAATATTTAGACTTCCAGCCTTGAAGTGCTAGGAAAGTTTTGTCTGCAGTTCCCAAGCCAAATCCTGAGTTTTTGGGATTCAGACTTCTTGGATGTCTCCCTGATTTTCCAGAGTTTGGATGCCAATGTGTAAAATCTGAGTTCAGAGGTGAAGGAATGGATTTTTCAACTGATTTTATTTATTTCCATTTTTGGGAGCATCCCCAGGTTCCAGTTTCAGAATTACTCTGGAATCTTCGGGAATAAAGTGAAAAAAACACCGAAATCCTTCCACAGCAATTGTAGCTTTGCTGCTGATTTTTTCCATGATTTTCCAGAGTTTTCCTCTGCTGGAAAATAAAAGGAAATCTCTTTTTCCCCGATGTGTTGCAACAACCGAGCTGGAAAAGGGCAATTCTCTTGGGATTCCTGGCATGGAATCCGGATGCTCATGTCTTGCCTGTTCACAGCTCCTGTCGCTGCCGACTTTTCCTTGGATTGGGAAAAGATTGTGCTTTCCCTGGCAGCCTGTGGAAGTGTTGGGATCTGCAAGGACACGAGTTGGCCGTAAAAGCAATTTATCCTCTGGAAGTAGCACTGCCAGGGATCCAGGGGCAGCCACAGCTGCTCTGGCAATTCCAGCCCAGCCAGCAATTCCCAATTCCCAATATCCCACCCAAATCTCCCCTCTTCCAGTTTGAAGCCATTCCCTGTGTCCTGTCCCTCCATCCCCAGTTCCCAGTCCCTCTCCAGCTCCCCTGGAGAACTGGGGCTTGGAGCTCCCTGGCACAGTGGGAGGTGTCCCTGGCTTGGAATGGGATGGGATTGGAAGTCCCTTCCCACCCAAACCATTCTGTGATTCTGTGATTATCAAAATAATAAAACCATCAGAAAAAGAAAATAAAAAATGGAAATATGAACTCATTTCTCTTCCCAGATCCATCACAGGCAGCTTCAAATTCCACAGGTCAGAAATCCCTGGGAATGTTCAAGGCTTGGAAAAACCTGGGATAGTGAGAGGTGTCCCTGCCCATGGCAGGGGCTGGAATGGGATCTTTAAACTCCTCCCAACCCAAACCATTCCATGATTCCATGAGGGAACTCCTCAGGGACTCCAGGATGAAATGTTTATTCCCGTGAGCTGTTGAGTTTCTTGGGAATTTCCCTGAATCATCCAAGGTGAAATCCCAGAGCCTCCCGCTCAAATCCTGTGGTTTGGTGCCGAGTCTGTGCCCATTTTTCAGACCTAAAGTAATTCTGGTTTTTGGTGCCAAGTTTTAAACTCTGCCCGTTTTCCAGACCTAAAGTAATCCTGGTTTTTGGTGCCGAGTTTTAGACTCTGCCCATTTTCCAGACCTAAAGTAATCCTGGTTTTTGGTGCTTGCTCAGATCAGGTGGACCAAAACAGCAGGAAGTGCCTCTGACAGATTCCAAGATTCCAGTGTCTTCAACGAAACCCTGAGGATTTCCAACATCCAGAGACACCAGGGAGGCCGCTACTACTGCAAGGCCGAGAACGGCCTGGGCTCCCCGGCCATCAAATCCATCCGAGTGGACGTGTACTGTGAGTAAATCCTTGGAATTCTGCCTTTGGTCCTTTAGGAATGCCTTGAAATATCTGTTGTTCCTGAGAAACGTTCGGCTCCTTGTGCATCCCAATTTTAATGGCGGGTGCTGCGGGTTTGTGGAGTTTTTATGGTTGGGAGAATGGGAAGGGTTGGGATTGCAGGGGAAAATGTGGGGGATTGGGATTGGAGTGAAAAATGTGGAGGATTTGGATTGTGGTGATGAATCTGATGGATTGGGATTGCAAGGAAGATGTGAAGGTTTGGGATTGGAGTGAAAAATATGGATTGGGATTGTGGTGAAGAATAAGGACGACTGGGATGTGAGTGAAAATATGGATTGGGATTACAATGAAAAATATGGGGGATTGGGATTTCAGGGAAGATGTGAAGGATTGGGATTGCAGTGAAAAAATGGGGAGGATTTGGATTTCAGTGAAAAATGGGAAAGGTTGGGATTGTGGCAAAAATACGAAGGATTGGGATTGCTATGCAAAATGTTTAATTGCTATGAAGATGTGAAGGATGGGGATTGCAAGGAAAAATGTGAAGCATTGGGTGTGTAAAGAAGAATGTGAAGGATTTGGATTGCAGTGAAAAATACAAAGGATTTGGATTGCAGGGAAAATGCGAAAGGTTGGGATTGTGGTGAAAAATAAGAAATATTTGTATTTCAGTGAAAAAAAGTGGAGGATTGAGTTTGCAAGGAAAAGTAGGAAAGATTTGGATTGCAGCAAGAAATACAAAGGATTGGGATTGTTTCAGGCCCTGGAGGGGGCTCTCAGCTCTCTCTGGATCCTTCTCTTCTCCAGGGGAACATTCCCAGCTCTCCCAGCCCGCCTCCAGAGCAGAGCTGCTCCCTCCTTTGGATCAGCCTCCTCTGAACTCCAGAGTGCAAAATTTGCTTTGATTGCACTCCCAGAATCATGGAATGGTTTGGGATGGAGTGGGATCTTAAATCCCATCCCATTCCATGGGCAGGGACACCTCCCACTGTCCCAGGCTGCTCCAGCCCCAATGTCCAGCCTGGCCTTGGCCACTGCCAGGGATCCAGGGGCAGCCACAGCTGCTCTGGCAATTCCAGCCCAGCCAGCAATTCCCAATTCCCAATATCCCATCTGAATCTCCCTTTAATCCATTGCCCTGCATCCTGTCTCTCCCTGCCCTCATAAGTTTCCCCCTCCTCTCCTTGATTTCCTTGGATAATTCCTTTCGGAAAGCCTTTTTCCTTCCGTGGAGAAGGAATGAACAGTTCCAAATCCACCAGGGATGATTCCTTTAGGAGACAAATCTCTGTCGTTTTTTCCTGTTAAAGCGAGCAGGTGTTGTCTCTCCCAGCTCTGGCTGAAAATTCCCATTTCTCACCTCAAGTTCCTCCAAAAGCCCTCAGTTCCCTTGGAAATGAATTCCCAGGAGGGAGAGCTCCATTCTTCTGGAGCCACCAGGAGAAGAAACTGCCTCAGAAATCCGAGCTCAGTTCATGCCAGGCTTGAACTCCGCTTCTTTTTCCTTGGGAAGTCGCTCTTCAAAGTTCATCTCATCTTTGGCTTTGAAGGAAAAGCTTTTATACTTCGACTCCCAGAAAAGTTTTTTACTTGGAGGACACTTCCTCCTTTTTTAGGGAAGGGAAAGATGGAATAAATGGAGTATTTTCATTTTAAGAAGCAGACTTCTGACAAGAAAACTCTTCTGCTCTTTCCCAAAGGACAAATTTTCCAAATTTCCCAGTTTTTAGCAAAGAAAAAGTCCTGATGCCTTCATGGAAAATGTGGTTTTGTGTTCCTCTTGGTTCACAGATTTCTGTGGATACAAGCCTGGAAAAAGGTGGAGCAAAAGGTCAGGTGAAGGTTTAAAGATTCCTGAGAATAATGTGGAAGGAAAAGGTGGAAAAAAGTTTTATCTTTATTTATTTCAGGGTGGAAAAAAGGCTTTTTCCAAGAAATGTAGTGCAGGGAAAGATTTAGGAATTAACTCGTAGTGGAAGGGACACATCCATCATGAGGGATGGGAAAATCTGGAATTGCAGGATGGAGAGGTTGAGCTGGGGTCCAGGAAGAACAATTCCTTGTGCTCCTGGATCCACTGAAATCCTTGCTGGCAGCTCTAATTCCAGTTCTTGGCTGGGAGGAAGGTGAGGAGTTGGGATGGAAACATGGGAATGGTGCCGGTCAGCAGGAATGAGAGTGGTGGAAGCAGACAGAAAACTGGGAATAATGGGAATGGCGAAGGGTAGCAAGAATGGGAGTGACCTCTCACCCCCACCTTGCTGGTTCTGGGTGTCCAAACCCAAAACCCTTTGAGTCACCCACTAAAATTAATGATTAACTCATCCTGATTATCCCATCCCGATTAATCCCAACCCTGCTGGGGAAAATTCCAAGTATAAATTAACCACAACTGGCGGAATGGAAATGCACAATTCCCATTAGGAATTATTCCTGTTTCCATGTTGAGCTGATGTTGACAATGTTTAATTCACCCTGAGGAGCTGTTGAGGAAATTCCTTGCAGAATTTGCTCCTCAGGATTCTCCTGATCTCGGGAATTTTTAACTCGGGAATAACGCTCGCAGTTAATTACAGAGCTTTAATTCCATAGCATTACCTGGCTGTGGGTGCAGATTTCCTTTTCCTCCTGGAACAAACTCCAGGAAAAGTTCCACGAGGTTATTTGAATGCCTTTTATGCCGTTCCTTTCCTAAATTAAAGCTGCGGTTAGATCAGCCTGAGACGAGCTGGTGTCAGATGAAATTCAGGATAATTGATGCCGTAAATATCCCTGGAGTTCAAAGACAGCTCCTTTCCATGGCTCCAAAATTCCCTCTGTTTACAGGAATCTATAAACAGGCCCAGGAAACAGCTTGGGTTATAGAAAGAGCTGAGTTTAGGGCTTAAATTCGCTGTTCCTGACTGGAATACTCTGTTCCTGCTGATCCATGGAATATTTCCTGTGCAGGGTTTTTTTTTGGAGGAGCTTCTCGTGGAGGTGAGAAGGGTTTGTTGTGGGTGGGCTCACTGGAAATGCAGAATTACTGGAAAATAATGGTTGGAAAAACTCCAAGACCATCGACTCTTGGATGCCCCCACAAGTGTTAAATCGTGTTTTGAGGTGTCCCCTTGTGAACGTTCCCAGGGATGGGGACCATCCACCATTCCGTAGGGAGTCTTTTCCAATGTCTGGCCATTCCTTCAGGGAAGAGATTTTGCTCTTTGACTCCTCTGCATTTGATAAAACCACGGAATGTTTTAGGCTGGATTTTAAATCCCATCCAGTGCCGTGGGCAGGGACTCCTTCCACTATCCCAGGCTGCTCCAACCTGGCCTTGGACACTTCCATGGATTCATGGGCAGCCAAAGCTTCTCTGGGAATTCCATTCCAATCCCTCCCCGCTCTCACAGTGAAGAATTTCAAGGTCCTCCACGTGCATGGCTGTACATTGTTCTGGACAATTAGAGTATCCCAATTAACAAAATGCAGATTTTGATGGATTTTTCCTCATCCTCCATTTCCATCTCCATCCTTCTCCGTAGGGCTCTGTAATTCCAGGCTCAGGAGAGCATCCATGGATATCCAGGCGTAGCCAACCTGAGCCTTGCTCCAGTGCCCATGTTTTCCCCACACCAGTTTTAACGAAGCGCTGGGGGTTAATTATCTTTGGGATCTTGATCCCAGTTTGAAATCCAGCTGAAACGACCTCACAAACCTGGTAGAACTTGGGAAAGGAATTTTTGGCAGATGGGCAGGCAAATGCGATTATCCAAGGAGGAAAACCTTGGCTGCTCCTTGGAACTCAGCTCCTTTTCCATCTCCTACCATTTTGGATTTGTGCTGCTGGAGCAGGATTGAGGAGCAACATCCCCATGGATGGGGTTTAGATGATCTCCTGAGGGTCTTTTCCAAGCTGGATGGGATTTTAACTCCGGGAATAGGCTGGGAATTCCATCCAGTCAGCAGAAGGACTTCGTTTGTCTGGAAGTCCTTTTAGGCCTAGCTCTAAATGTTCCAGGCAGGTCGATTTTCCTCTTTGATTTATCATCTTCATTTCCCCCCCAGGAGTTCCTTCCGTCCACAGCCTCCCTTTCTCCTCACTCTTATTTATGGCCTCTAGTCCTGGTTTTCCTCTGGTTTCCCTCCCATAAAATATCTTTTAGGGGGAAAAAAATTCTGTATTTTATATTCTGCTGGAGTCGGACTGGGGGGAAAAGGGGTTTTTTAGAGCAGGGATTGCAGGGCAGCACTGGAGAAGTTCCTGCTCTGACATTTTTAATGGGAAAGAGTTTAAGGCTGGAAAAGAAATGGGAGCCTTGGAAGAGAAATGGGATAGGAGGGAGGAAACCTGGCACTTGTTGTTATTGTGGAATCAAGGAATGTTTTGGGATGGAAGGGACCTTAAATCCCATCCAGCCCCTGCAGGGACCCCTCCCACTATTCCAGGCTGATCCAACCTGGCCTTGGGCACTGCCAGGGATCCAGGGACAGCCACAACAAATCTGGCAATTCCAGCCCAGCCAGCAATTCCCAATTCCCAGTATCCCACCCAAATCTCCCCTTTTCCAACTAAAGCCATTCCCTGTGTCCTGTCCCTCCATCCCTTGTCCCCAGTCCCTCCCCAGCTCTCCTGGAACACCTTCAGGCCCTGCAAGGGGCTCTGAGCTCTCCCTAGAGCCTTTTCCATGTAAACATTCCCAGTTTTCCCAAGCTTTCCTCGCAGGAGAAATACTCCAACCCTCGGATCACCTCCACCACCCGCTCCGCACTCCCTTGTTTATTACAAATGAAGAAACAATCAACTATTTCCCTTTTTTTCTCCATTCAAATATTTTTTATTTTCCTTTTAGACCATTTAAAATCCAAACTAAGGCAACGAGAGAGCAGTGGGGTCTCACCAGGAGCCCCTCCTCATTATTTACACTCAATTAATTCCAAATTTCAATTTTAACAGGGATTTAAACCTTTTAAGGAGCCTCTGGAAAAATTTCACTGAGTGGAGATGGATGTGC